GTCAATTTTCTCTTGGGAAGGACGATCCGTTTAGAGGATTATAATATCATGGGGAGCTAATTCATCTCCTCTTACAGAAAGAATGCATGAAGTAGCTACGAATGGAGGAAACTAAATAGAAAAANTAAAGGGAGCGGTGATAGCTATATTATGTACAATATATTTTCTCAACTTGGTAGGACAAAGTAAATAATACCAGATGTAGAGAACCTTGAAATAAAACAATCTCATACGTCCTTTGGCTGTACACTTTATTGAATTATAGAATCATTCACTCAATGTACATCATCCAGGCTGAGTAATTTAGATATGGGAAAATATCTGTGAAATATATTGATTGTATTATTGATTGAAAAGCCAATTGCTGTTGAACGCCAGTTCTACCATTTTAATCCTGACACATTTTGACATATGAGTCAACCATTGCTGCTGCTACTGCCTGGAGCCAGCTCAACATGACAGAGAGTGGTGGTAAGGGGGGGTGGAGGAGGCATAGAGGAATGGAAGGGAGAAGGAGTGGAGAGAGGGGGTGGTATGCTGAGTGAGGTTCGGGGCTGCCTTAAAAAAGTTAAAAACAAATGTTTTAACAAAAACCTTTGGATTGCAGAAATAAAAAATCTTGAATAAATAATTAATCCCTGCCTTTTGAAGAGCTTTACTTCAAGGTTGATTGAAACTTTAACCTCAGTCTCAATAAAAAAGCTTCAAATTTGCCAGACCTTGAATTTTTGCAACAGTACGTTGAATTATGCAGCAATCAGTCAATTATTCATCTCTCCCAGATCGAGATGGCAGTGCTTGAAAAGCATGCAGAAATGGCTTTACAGAATGCTTGCTATGCTGTGTCAACACATTTCACTCCAGATTGCTTACAAGACAAATTTTTGTTTTAACATTGATTCTATTATTTTCCTGCTGGTTTGTAATAAGGTATGTGTTACAGATCAATTGTAGTCTTTAGGTTTGTGGCTTGGATAAAGCAGTTACTTTATCATATCCCTGGATCTTTTATAAGGATTTTATTGGGTTAGTATACTTGACTGATTAATTTGTATTTGAGAAGCAAGCAAAAAATATTTTATTATGAGGAAATAAATATCTCGCTTGTAGCTACTCGTGTCCTTCAAGACTCTTATTATGCAATACAAATATATTAAAGGTTAAATGTAAATAGGCTTAGACCAATATTTGTCATGGACCTTCTTAATGTTGAACTTGTTTTGAAAGGCAAAGAGACTCATTTGAAATCCTTTCGTCTCAGCAATAGAAGAGATCAAACAGCTTGTTGACAAGGTGAATAATTCTTTGCTTTGTTCCTGAATGAAAAGCAGAAATAAAAACACAAATAACAGCATCATAAATACGGAAATGTACATAAATAAATCATGCAAATGCAAGCAGTTTGCTTGGCTGGCGGTACAATTATGGAAAAAATGCTTGTTTAACAAGAACTGAGGACTATGCCTTTATGCTGTTCTGCACTACAGTAATTCATCTCAGGAAAATAACATTTGAATGTACACAAATCCTGAGTGCATTGTTTTCCTGCCACTGCAAAAAGCTGACTTCTGTTGTTCTTTTGTCTATCTCAGTAACTAAATATTTTTTCAATGTCACAATATCATATAAACTGCCTCAATCTTAACCCACGTTGAACCAAATCTGCTTTCTTTGGACTTTTATCTGTTTTAAGATGATATTTTCTGGCAGGGGGCAATTTTGCATTTCAAAAGCTTATGTGATTGTGAAACAAAATGAAAAATGTTTAGTCATTTAAAAAAAATACAAAATGCAGATCCTGAGTAAGGCTGCAGGGGTTCAAAAGGGATAGATTTTCTTCAGTTATTAGCAATGGCTTGGAAAATACACTGAAAGGCTTTATTTTGCTAATCCTCTTAGTTTTTAATGAGCAACTGTTCAAAAAGTTCTGAGGAACAGCCTCTGGAACATGCAGAGCAAATAATAACATGTTTGTTGGACTTTTACTCAGTTGTCCATGGTAGGTTTACAGATGGCTTTGTTTCTCACTGAAGATCCTTTATTCTAAAGACCATTCTCAACAATAATTTATCTGCCTATGATTTCTAGCAGATTTTTGATTTTTTTTAAAGTACTTGCCCTCACATTAACAATCTTATGGGCTTCAATGTGAAAGCTTTCATTTGGTACTTGATTGTTAATATTGAATACCATCTTCAACTATAAGTGAATCCCACACAAAAATAAATCACCGCAGATCACTGTTAATACAATGTATCTTTTAAATAACGTTATCAGTGTTTGCTGGATTTTTCTATAACGTCACGGGGGAAAAAAAGTACATTTTGAGAGAAATCTGCTTCTGACAGGATCTAATGCAAACATTCGTCCTGTGGGATTGAACGTGATTCCTTTAATCAGACAAGTTATGTTGGAAACCTAATACACAGTACAGTATTGTGGAAAAAATCAGCCCACTTTCTGGAGCTCTGCCCCTCCAACTAACACCCTCCTTACTTTTTAAGCCCGCCTTACAACTTACCTCTTTGACTTTTTTTGGTCAGCTTTTTCTTCACCCCTCCCTTGGCTCAGGTGCCATCATGCTGTGTGAAGTGGTTGGAGATGTCCTCCCAAGCTACTCTGTAAATGTAAATTGTACTGTAGCTGCAATCCTGATTTGTTAAGCTAATTCAGACTTCTGGTTTGAATTATAATTTTCACAAACTTGAATTGATGTGTTCGTTGCAAATTGGGATTGTTTTCCTCTCAAGATTTTTTTTGACTTCGGCTGATTTTCGGGACTTGGAACTTAATAGTCGGCAACCAGAAACGTTGACTCTTGGTCAAAAATCTCGTGAATTAGGTCTTCCTGTCTGATTAAGAACAGAAGAAAATATAGAACCAATAAAGGGCATTCAAACTGCAACTTCTTCCACAGAACTGTGGAAAATCAACCTTAATGTTGGCATGTGGGATTCACTCTATCTGCCAATCCATTGAGGAAAATGATACATAAATAATCCCTGAATGCCAAAGGTAAACAGGCAAAACTCGGAAACTTTTTTGGGGTAAACTATGCAGTACATGTTTATGCCTACCATATATATTGTGCTGCAACTCTCTCACAGTCTTAGCCTTAAGACCGTGGTCTTACAATATAAGATTTTACTGAATTTGAAAAATACATAAGTTCAGTCTTAATTTGGAAGCTGATTTAGTGTTCTTAAAGTAGCGTATATCACTAAGCCATAGAAGTAATGATATGTGAGATGTGATTATATATCCACAAGTGTGATTGACAAAGTGATAAACAAGTGTCAAAGGTCACAAGTGGATCAAGGTAGGCCTTACCGAATAAGTGTTTGCCATATTGCAAGATGTATCCTAATGAGTGTGTCTGCATTGTTGGGGGTTACCGTTGTTCAAATAAAATGTTAAACCAAGATCCTGTCTGCCTGTTAAAGATCCTTTGGCATTATTTGAAAAAAGAAAGGAATTACTCTCAAGTGTCGTGGCCAACAATCCCCCAAATAAAATTGGTTATTCACTTCATGGCTGTTTGCAGATCATTGTTGTACACAAAATTGGCAACCACATTCACCTACAAAGATACACCATAGTCCTGTGAAGCGCTTTGAGACATCTTCCCAATAGGAAAGGCACTAAATCAAACACAAAGATTATTATGATACTAGTTGTATCTCTTCAACTGAAGAAAAATTGAAAGTAATAGCTGGAATGTGTAATCAATGAACAAGTGACAGAGACAGACACTAGCTCTATTTAAGACACAACTTGATGCGGTAATGAGAAGATGGGCATTCTGGATGAGATCAATGGACCAAAGGCCCTTCTTCATTCTTATCTCTCATGATATTGTGAAATACAGTATTGTAAAAGTTGCAACCAGGAAAAAAATTCCCAATTTATGGTGCAACTTTGTTGTAAAGTCATATCAGTTTCCAATGTTTAAGCCTAGCATGTACAAGCTAGATTCTCTCTTTGTTCTTAGTAATATAGTGAAGAGATGAAGCAAAATATATTCCCAATAATATGTCTCGTGCCACCACACTAATTATAAAGAAAAAGCAATTCCAATCTTAGTAAATTCATTATCTTTTTCTTCTTTACTCTATTTTTTCCTATTTAATCTTTCTTCTAGTTTTAGGAAATACTCTCGACATGTTCCTGGCACTATATAATAACAAAAGTGTATTGTATTGTGTTGCAATCTCCATGTCCTGCCTCTCCTTGTTCTCCCATGGTCCACAGTCACTTCCTTTCTTTTCTGTCATCAATTCTCCTGAGGGTTGAAATGTTCTATTAGTTTTAATACCCGATATCTAAAAATTTGAGATTGTGCAGAATTTTAGAAAATTTAGCAAATTCAGTGTTAATGTGGAAACTGGCTCTTTTTGAGAACTGACTTCTGAAAGAAGACTGAATCTGAGACTTTTGCAAAAAAAATGTCACGATTATAAAATTTTAGATAATGGTCTTAAGGGTCTGAGCAATAATAATAATAATGATGCATTCAATCCAGCACCTTACTGAAATAAGTCTCTTAAAGAATAAAATGAAGCACCTCAGAGAATATACTGTAAAATAGTGTTATTATGTATATTGTGGGTGAATGCCAATTTGGAGGCCAATTGAGACGTTTGGTTCCAGGATATGCTGATTCATAACTCACCAATTGTCTTCAAGAATAAATGCCAAGCAAATAAATACCAATTTAATTTAAACTGTTCAAGTACCCCTTGATGTATCAACAGGTTGAGCAATTTGGTGCTTGTGACAAACAAACCACTGCCTAATTTGGGCCTATTTAATTTGTTCAGCCTCAGGCAAGAGAAAGACTTGTACATCTCACTCATGAAGGGAAGTGCAATATCTAACCAACACTGTTTAATCTCCTTTATGTATTAGTACCTCAGCTGGGAGAGATGTCTCAACATAAATCAAAGAGCCATGAGAGGCTCCAACAGAAGGGAGCAATAAATACCAGTCACATGGAGATTTCAGACAATTTTATTAGCAGATTGTTGAAAAGAAAGAAAATTAAATACAATACAGTAAACGTGGTTCTCACATTTAAACCAGGCTCAAATAACTAAGCTACTATAGAAAAATCTCAGTTTCTTGCATTATGATGTAAAAACAGATTTTTTGTACAGATTTTGTACAACAAAATTCGTAATAACCTTTTTTTTTAGAAAACTTTAAATATATAGATAAAAATAGACAATTTTCGTATGTCCTAGTTGAAGATGTGTGTTGTGTTCCAAGGGCTTGCATAGAGCGCAAATGTGGTTATAATACAGAATACCGAAACATTAATATGTTCAATATGAAAAGCATATAAACAATAATGTGAAAATGTATTGTACTGAGAGTCTATGAACAGAGAACGTAATAAACATCAGAACTGGGGTAACAACCTACAATACAACTTCCTATGACTTTTGCTTAAAAACCTGCAACAGTATTCTGCAGCATTCTTTCGTTCGAGACACTTTAAGAGGTCTGGTCGATTCCTATTGTCGTTTACCCTTTTCACCTCTGTTTCAAAATGTAAAGTATTTGGCATTTCAGAGATCAACAAAAGATGACAGGCGGCGTTGTAATAAGTGTCGAAGTGCTAGCCCCGGCACTTCTTGTATTAACCAATAGTATGGGCCCCATTTATTTTGGCAAGATAAGGTTATATTAATTGTCTAAACGGTATTGTTGTTAATCCTTGAAATGCTTGTCACGGCATTTGTTGTGCTAACCTTTTGGGGAGAAGAAATTGTCCTTTTTATTAGTTGTCCGAGTTGTGACCTGCATTAAAACAAAGACTCTATGCAAGGAGCAGAGGAACAACAAATGCTCGGTGAGACTGTTTAAATGTTTCTTCTCTGAAAACAGAAGGATCACATGGAGAAGTTTTTTCTTACCCAAACGCACATCAATATAGACAGTAACCCTTTCAAGACCATCACAGCAATGACAAAACCAAGCTGCTCCCTTTGTCTCCCTATTGCCAGTTTTGAGATATCCTATCCTGCCTGACATGTCTGGGTGGGAGCATGCATCAGTGGAGAGGTGGCAACACTTGGTGATCCAACCACTGCCTTTGTTTCTCACACAGTTACAACCCACCCTCCTACATCTGGGTCTTTTTGGTTTTCAGACATTTGCTAAAAACGTCACCACCCAGTCATTGATCTTCATATCGAGTTACATGTTAACCTGGGATCTAGAAGCCAATATCTGTAACAGCAGTGACAAATACAACTCTGAGTCACAACTAGCAACTGTTTCCAGTAGCCTGTAGTGAGCCACACTAATCCGTAGGAACTCCACTCCAGCACATTCTAATTGTGGAGCAGAAGTCCCGCTGATTCATGAGAACCTCTTCAGGTTACTGTCCAGATTGCAATGTGAGACACCCAATGTTTATCAAATGTACATCCCTGGATCGGGGCCATTTTAAACTGGCCTTAGCTCATTTCAAATGTACAGACATATGTATTCGTAAACATATAAAACAGATTGCTAAACTCAGTCTGGCTCATCAAATTTACAATAACATCTAGCGTTTATTTTTCCTTCACTGGTGCACATCAGATGTTTAATCCTAGATTTGTGACCTGTTCCCTGGCAATTTGAGTCCAACAGTTCTTCTGTTCCCATGGTTTTAGAAATGACTTACAAAGAATTCCATTAGGATCCACCTGGATTGCCCAGTTCAATCCAAGACCCTCCGTTAAGAGGAGCCAACATAGCTATGAAGTTGAAAGAATCCCGAGGGCTTTGTGACACGCAGCAGCTCATCTGATCCAATGGGTTGAGTTATCTTAAATTCACAAATACTATGAATATGACAAGGTACAACTGGGGTTGGACTTGTTCTGCCCATGGCAGCAGCTACCTTCACAAGGACAGTCTTTTAAGGGTTACCATGGCAGTGAACAAAGGCAAAACTAACAGAAAAGGCTACACTACCCAATTAGCACTGTGTTGGAATTTACTTCCAATTATTTGTACAAAGGTGAACACCACAGTTTATCAAAGACAGTGATAATTACACATAACCATCCTTCCCTATTACACAGGGAGAATACAGACTTCAACTCACCACTCAGCTAGGTTCGTTTTCTCAACTGTTACATCAAGTTTTGTAAAGATCCTATTTTTAAACAGCGACACCTCAAGGTGACGTGAAAATAATAATTAAAAAAAATTGTAGCGTTTTGATCCGCCTGACTGCACTGCCACAAATCTTAATTAATATCATCAGTTCTGTATCAGAGAGCAGAGACAAGCTCTCCTCACGTGTGGCAGGCAGAGAGGACTTCCGACCTGTCATGCTGAATCTGCGGTGTTGCACGACAGACACCAAGGATCCTGTTCAGTAATACTGTGACTTGAGAACAAATATTTACATGCCTGCATGCTTAGTTAATGAGCTTTAAAACTAAAAATGCGGCTTCCGGAACAAACAGAATGACAAAACATAACAGCATCTAAATTTTGAAAGTACTGTATTTTTTTCTTCTAGTAATCTACTGCATACACATTATCTCCCTGTGTCATATTATATACACATGACCAGCAGCTTGGCTAAAAGAAGCAAACATTATTCACAAATCTCTGCCTGTGTGGAGCACATGAGTTTTTATACTTGTTGTGACTTTTGAAACAACTTACATTCACTTTTTTTTCCATTTTATTTAAATTCTGTATCCTAAAACTGAGAAATATTGTAATGCTGTGTTTAGCTTCTGTGTGCCTTGCCAGAATACTCAATTCAGCTCTCACTCTCTCCTCCTCCTGTTGAAGAAGCTCTCTCCTTCCATTTATCATCACATTAGTGTGACGTTACTTGATTTGCCAACATATCCAAATCTATAGTAAATTCCATCAAAATCAGGAAAGAAAAATCCAGAGCTTCCTTGCTGGTTTGAGTAGGGCAATAGCGTCAAAGTGAAAAACATTGTGTTTATTTTTCTTTAAAAAATGGGTTTGTTCACTTCTTCATTTCACTAACTGCTGATTATTTTTTTGCACGAGGTGCTCAGGACAGGACTGTCACAAATGGTCACACTTTCTTCCAGGAAACGAAGTACAGAGTCTAAGTCTGAGTCTCGGAATCCAACATGCCCATCAGCAATGAGTGCCTGAATGCAGTGGTAACTTGTGACACCGGTTGTGTTACTTCATATTCAGCAGCAGTGCCTGCTTGAGAGAGTTCTGCTGTAGAAATCAGTTGCTGGAGAGGAATGCTGTAGTAATACATTAAACATTTCATGGATGACAAAGTAACATAGATATGCAGACTGGGAGAAGCTACTTCAAAAACAGAGTTGTCTCCTTGTTCCAGGAGGCCCTTTTTTAAAAAATCTTTTAAACTTTTTTTTTCGTCCTAAGTGTCTTTTTGCATCACGTGGTTTCTTTCTGAACACTTGGTTCAGTACATGACCGAAGTTTTCAGGTACAGTCTTCCATCTGGGGGAAGGAAATAAAAGCAAAGATCAGTGACCTGGACAGCTGAGTAGCATGAATAAGGCACAAAGCTGGTTGTAGAGGTTTAAAAGTGTCACTAATATCTGGGCTTTAATGCGCACTTGGGGTAAGACACTGGCACATTCCCACACCTGTCTTTCTCCCTTGAAATAGTACAAGTCATAGGTGGAACGTGTCCTAGTTTTATTGTCACTACTTGGTAAAAATCCAAGTCTCTATGCCTGAAGATGTCAGCTTCTGGAATGAATTGAATTTGTTCCAGACGTACTCTTACTGAGTCAAATCCATACTGGGTGAGTTGTAAATGTAAGGCACAATGTAAAGATGCTTCAAGAACCTGCACTACCTGACTAACATGTAGAGAGTGGAAGCATTTTCTTTCCATCAATGGATTCATTTTGTTAATGCATCAAAGATGCTAAGTTGCACATTGCATTCTGAAAACATGCCTCCTCCAAAGCAGTAACTGCTGGCTATAAAGGCTAATTTTCCCCTAATGCAGGGCAGATTTTCAGCCCTTCAAAGGTTGAATATTAAGCAGAAAAAGAAATTTAAATCGAAGATTACAATATGAAAGGAGTGTGTTTTTAAATTTACAAATAATGTAGATTTCCAATGGCTGCATATTAAATAAACTCTGTGCTCTGACCAGGGGCTAAATGGAGGAAACATGCAATTGATCCCAGCTGCAGCATTTCCTGACTTTATTGACTGTCTTAAAACTAGTGTCCCACAACTCCCCTATAATTAAATGTCTCTGACCCAAAGGTAGAAGCGCTACCTGTTCATGCATTAATCGTCCTCTTGGATTCCTTGTGAAGTTATTTTAAGTTCTCCCTGTGAGGAAGAGGCCATTTAGCATCAAGTCCCTCATGTCCTGTGATTAGGAACTATGGGTGAAGTCACTGAGGAAGTGATACTCCAATTATTGGTAAACATACTGACTGGTGAGTGATGCTTCAAATTCTAATCTGCTCACATCTGAGTCCCACTAACAGTGGATTTTAATATACAGTATGGCTCACTGTGCCAACAGAAAATAACCTCTGTGTTAATTAGATTCCTTTGTATTTTATACTCATTTGATACCTGATGTGACAAAATTGCTATTTTTGACCAATACGTCAGGAAGGAGTAGTCAGTAGGTTTCCTAGTTTCTCATCTGCTATTTAAAATATTTGATATACAGTTTTTTAAAAAAAGACAAGAAGGCTGCCCTCTAGGATATTTTGCTTTTGGGATGGATGAAAACCTTTTTTCCTCTCAAAAAAACATCACAAATTTATTAAATTGACTTAAATATGTCACCAAGTGTGGTGCGTGTGCCAATATAAATAAAAGCTGTGGGAGCCACCAAAATATTAAAGTTCACCTAGTCCTTTCATTTAATTGGAGCACACTGCAGGTGTTGGACAACAATAGCACTTATAATGGGAAAGAAGCATAGAACAAAACATTCACTGGTGTTAGTGGATAGCACGCATTACATCCCATGCATTGCTTCCCCCTCCCCTTCCATGAAGCCTGTACAGATCCCTAGCTCCAATAGCAAAAGATACATGTAAAAAATACACAGAAAGTGCTTGTAATGATTGTTTTAAGCTGTACCTGCAGGAACATACCCACACAAAGAAAGTTTGTCAACTTTGGCAGTTTCAAATTCAACTGCATGCTCATTTACACCACTCAAACATATTTAGTTACACTGTTGACATTAGGAAGAGGCTGTGTATTAGAAAGATTAGCATTTTGTGTTGACTCCTTTCAGCTTTTGCCTGAGCAACTTCACAAATTCTGAGAATAAACACCATACAGGCCCTAGATTTGCCTTTTTATTACATTTTATGACCAATTCTCACACTTCTCTTACCCAAATCCGTTTATTTCTGGTTTCATTATAGCTTTCTTTAAAACTTCCTTTTTTGTTTTGTTTCTTTTGATCAGTACAAAAAATCAATCAGTCCATCTGTGGAAGGACTTCATGTCAAAATCTCTCTATGATAAAACATACACTAAATGTCTCCAAATTACCAGCCAAGCTTCGATACAGCAATAGGAATACAAATTACATCTGGTCAGAGATAGTGGGAAAACGCAACTCAACCACAATTCCTTCCTCTCTCGCCATAGCATGTTTCAAAGATTTATTTTTGACACATTCATAGACAGAGGAAATCCATTTAGGTAATTATGTATGACCTGACATTATATAAGATACTGACATTCTTGGTAACAGCCCTTAGGCTTAATGGCCAAATAAATTTAAACCCCCGAAATATAGTCCAAAAATGAATTGCGCTGTTTCAGTTTAGTTGGTAAATATCCATGTAGTTGCCTATTTTGAATCATTGAAAGATGGTCTATCACGTTTTTAGGAAAATGTACACTGAACAAGGAGGGGATCTGATGGCATTATTTACGGCTTCATCAGAACACCTTGACTGCAGCTCCCAATCGTCAATGCTTCTCGATCAGTCTTACTGTTTCACCTCTCGAATTCCATTCCACAGAAACGGTTTTATTTGTGTCATGCAGTATTTGAATATTTCAGACAGTGTGACAGAAATGTGTTTGCTGATAAATCCGTAATACAGTCTATTCCAGAATGGAGAAGTTTAATCTACTGTTGCCGGTTGCTTTATAAAAGCTAATACATCCTCCATCAGGATGTTTCCCTAATGCTCCTAACAGATGGATGAATTACTTACTATACCTTTAAGTTGTCAAGTGTAAAATATATCCCACCTACCGAGGCTTGAACAGATAAGCTCCCAACATAGCTTTTTACATTATGATTTCAGTTGTATCCAGGTTTACAGCCAGAGCATAGCGATTAGCTTAAAATTAGAGCAAAACACCCAATAAGATGCATTTCCTGTTAGGAAGCAACCAAATGGGTCCTTTGTGACAGCTATTTTCTCTCCAGTAATTCTTTCCCCCAAACAATTCTCTAACACCTCAAATGGAAGAGCTGCTTTATCCATTTATATGAGTTGTACGTGCAAGACTGAGTGCACGTAATATCCCTCAAACTGCATGTGTTTAAAATATCTTTAAGCACAACTTGGCTACTTTCGATATCTCTATTTATTTCTAAACAATACTGCATCAAAGAAAAAAAACACATTCATTTCACAATCAGTACTTAACCTGCTGTCCCAGAACTTATTTTTTGATACAGGAACACAACAGAAATCGCTAACAAACAAGCAGTCTCATGTTTCACCGGGCCTTTGATAAAGCAGCCGGGAGAAGTCAAAATAAAGAGCAAACATCTGGAAACACATGGCGATGAATTGCTACAAATTCCTGAATCCTTTTTATTTACATTATTTAAAACAGGAAACATCTCATTAGGGATGAGGGCTTTTTTTCTTTCTAATTTTTGTATGATTTGTTTTGTTTTTAATTGTTTAGATCATTAGGAGTTTTAGATAGAAGCAGAAACAGGAAGGATGTTCATGGGAACATAGGGGAATCCAAGCAGGAAGCTGGGACGAAGGGGAATTTGATTTTCAGCATGGGAAAAGATTTGGCGATGAATCTTATATCATAGAAGGGACCCACCCCAACATGGTTTTGTCACCCTGAAGAGCACGTAATAATAAAACTAAAACGCAAATTTATAAATAGATGGTGTTACTTAGCGCTCAAAAAACAGTGCAGATGGAGAGCAGTCCCAGCTTTTAGTAATCCCTCCTGCTGCCTTGTGAACTTGGCTACTGCCTGTGTCTTGTGTCAACAGAACGACTACAATTCCAGGAAAAGACAACACCAGAACTAATTGGAGCAGTTTACCATAAATCTCCAAGGCATTATGTTCTTGTGCTTTCTATTCATGTAGTAGTACAGAATGCTATGCAAAAATCATTAAAGGATGAGGTAATTGTTAAAAATAAAATGCTCTGTGACCTAGCAATGTGCATTTCAGCAATGTGTTGTGCTATGTAAATGGTTCTTTGGATGACTGTCCTGAAAGGTTGCTTCTATCTGTTATTTTTAATTACAAATACTACTGACAGGATCCTTGTGTCACGTGAGTGCATTACTGTCAGAAAATCAGTTTATTAGCTATCAGTTGACTTGATGCTGCGAAAATTGTTTTCTTCACAGGAGTAAATCGTAAGAAACACTCAGCTATTCAGTCTGTTTCTTCCATTGTAGAAAAGGAATGATCCTTAAAAAATCCTTAGGAAGAATTAAGTGAAACATTTTTTTTAAAAAAATGAAAATTAAATAGGGAACTTGGAATCGAGAAAGCTTCAATTTGCAGAAAGCTTGATGGAAAATAAGATGCAGCTTACTGTATAAAGAAAGCCTTTGCTAAACAGTGTTAGTTTTAATGTTATTAAAGAACTGGTTATGTATTCAAATGCATGTTTGAAAGTTCTCGAATGGATCAGCTTTGAGCAGGAATCGATCCTCACCACTGTATTTACTACAAGGGAGCTGGTCTGTTGGGATCCAGCCAGCCTAAATAGTTTCAAGATAATGTGATTCGGTTTATAAACATGATTCAGAAACTGGATATGAATGTTGTGTCCGTGTGAAGTTTTCAACTGAGGCTTTGTCATTCCTCGTAAATGCATTAAAGAAACAATTCAAAGTACGTACATGGTTTCATTTATCTGATCCAATTTTTTCTGAAGTATGAATTGGTTTTGCAGTTTTCGGTAACTCTTGTAATTGAGTACGTAAGTGATTAATGGAACTAAGCCCTCATTTAAGCAACAAAGGAAGGAGACTGTCATTTCAGTCGAACTGCACACCGGAGTCTTAACACAATAGTCACTTTTACAAACCAAAGAAGGCATTCATTGACACGCGGGCAAACTATCACAATGCAGGAATTCAGCACAAAGATTGGATTGTTTGAATAGTTCAAAACACCTGCGTGTTCAAATCTGTAATATTTCAGCTTGTCATTGTTTCAGTGATACTGTGCAATAAGCTTTTAGCTTATTGTTCTGGTGAGAGAACTG